TAGAGGGCAGGCATACGCCGTCCCCCCAAATAGCACTTTTTACGTCTGAAAAAGCGGGTTGATATATTTTGAAGCATAGTCTTGGTCTTAGCTCATCAGGGACCGAGAATGATGAGTATCCCAAATGTATCATTCTGCAGAGGAGCTGCCTTTAACGGACGACTTGCATCGTGTTTGCATGTTTTCGCGCAAGGGCCCACGCAAAACTGATGTCTGACTGGTCCACGATGCAAATCCTCGCTAATATGATTCTGGGGTCCAGTTTGAAGGCGAGTATCTTAGCCGTGAGTGAGCCATCTGAGCTTCCGCTTGAGCAGTGTTTTAGATAGGGCCCCGAAATTACTTTCCACAAGATCCATAAACCCAGGTTTGCCTAGACGCTGCCTTTCACCCTTTGGGACATGGCGGTGGCAATTGCCACCACCAACTTTAGAGAGCTGCAAAATCACCACGACAGCATGTTCTTAGCACTCCTACTTACAGTAGCTTCGGATGACCCAATATTTTCTAACTGCGCGTCCATTCGCATTTTCGTTCATTCTGCGCTCAGTACTGGAAGCAGTTGCACGAAGCAACAGTAGATCGCGCTTGTTCTTGAAATATAGTAGGTCAATGCCATTTTTTCTAAAACTTTGAGTTTTTACTTATATTACTATTATAACCGTTGAGTATGAAGTTGTTTTGACAGTTGTTTGTGGGTCCGCATGTGTTGATTGACTCTTTGCGATCTTTTAGAATTGTTGCACGTAGCTGCCACCAGTGAGCTTTTCTGATGGAAGGTCTTTTATACAGAAGACAGACCGTCAACGAGCTTCGATAAGAGTTTAGCTGGCATATATCGGCAAATCATGAGAGAAGCTGCGGCAACATCATCGGCGAAGATGATGTTGACGATGAGCTTGGAGAAATCGAGGAAAGCGACGAGAAAGAGCAGGCGTTGAGAAAGACAGTTCTCTGCTATCGCCAATGGACCAAAACGAGGAAGACCAGTGTCCAACTTTCCAAATATCATAAATCCACCTACTACCATTCCAGTCAAACGCCCGAAGCCCAGCTTGAGACCTTCGAGTGACATCAGATATGATAACGTTGGGCATTTGCCGATACATAAAGTGGTAACGAACAGCGATGAAAACTAGAATCTTGTAAAGGACGTTCACGAATCCAATGTGAGAAGTGTAATGTTCATCTTTGCCTGACGAAACATAGAAATTGATTCGAAACTTTTCGTTGTAAATGAGTAAGGTGTGATAAAAGCTGTTCCACTAAAGCCCATTGGTGGCAAAGCCACCATTTCGTAGTTTCTTACCATTAGGTCGACTTTCCAAACATATCTAGAGTGTTATTTATGTGCCTATAAGTAAGAATCAATGAAAAGAAAGTTTTTTCTCACTGGAAGAAAGTCAGGTCCGAAAGAGTTAAGTGAACTATTCTAGAGTAGTCGCTCCTTTCAGCACAAAGCCACCAAGGCAAATATTCCCCTAGACTTTGCAGAGAAATATTCTCAG